GGGAGGAGGGCAGGCACCTGGATCCAGATGGACTCATTGGTGGGGCCGGGAGACGTGAGCTTCTCCAAGTTGCCGTCGCGCTCGTAGGTGAACGTGGTGCCTGCGATCTGGTAGTCGCCGACGTACTGAATCTTCAGGCCTCCGTTGAGGTAGTACTTCCCCGGGTCCCCGCCCCGAAGGGCCAGGAAGTTGGTGGACTCGGCCACCTCCTTGATGAGGATTTCACGGGCGCCGGCCGGGATCTGCCCCACGTCCACGTACCCTGGTGGTCAGGGCGGTGCCCGGGTCAGCAGCTGGCTGCCCCCGCCTCCTCCCTCCCCTCTCTTCCCGGCCGGCCCCGCCACTGGCTTAAGATTCTGAGCTGTATGCCCCGCTGGCGTGCAGGAGGCAGCCGGTCCATGATTCTCTCTCATTGTTGCTGTTTCTCTCTCTCTCTCCCTCTCCAAAATCAATAAAAAAATGTTTTTAAAAAAAAATATATTTGAAAAGTCAAGGTTGAAGATAAATAAGTAAATAAGCAAACACCACGGGGCCCCAGGGACACCCCCCTCCCTCCGCACGGGCACAAGCTCTTTCCTTCCGGCGGTGATGCCTCTGCCGCCTCCTACAGGCAGTCTTCCCGGATTTACCCAGGTCGGAGGCCGCTTCCTCCGGTGCCCTCCCAGCCCTCTGGGCCTCCCTCTGCTGCATCTGTGAGGCTAAAAGGTCCTGTGACCCTATCAGACTATGAGGCCTTAATGGCGATGTCCCCCTCGCTGGGAGGTGGGGGTGTGGGGCTGCCAACACCCGGAGAGGAGGGAGACTCTGAAGCTTCCTGACAAGGCAGTAACCCTCGGGAAGGCCTGAGAGCGCCCGTGAGCCTGAGCCGCCCCACCTGGGGTCCCTGGGGTCCCCGGGGCAGGAGGACGCCCTGGGACACAGGTCACTGTGTCTGTGCCAAGTGTCCCATGGGCTTGGATCCTGGACCAAGCTCACAGCCAGGTCGAGACGGTGGGGCCCAGGGGGGCCGAGGAAGGGCCCGGGGTCCTCCCACCACAGGGGGTGCTGACCGTACCGTTGGGCCCATTTTCCTGGAACACCCAGCTCAGGGTGTGGCAGGTGGAGCCGTTGCCCCCGCACACACCACAGCGGTCCTCCACGGCGCGGGAGTCGATCTGATAGTCGCAGCCCACGTTCTGCAAGACACGGGGGCACGGGTGGGGGGAGGCCCCGGGGCGGGCGCGTGGGGCTGGGAGGAGACCCCAGGCGAACTCCTCTGCCTCCCCAGATGTGAATAGATGGACCCCTGCTGTGAGGCTGGGTGGTGAGGCTGCAGGAGAGGAGCGATGGGGCAGGGAGTGGGGAGGTGAGGGGGGGCAGTGGGTGCTCAGTGCGGACGGGAATCGGGGTCCCGGGCCCTGGGGTTCACACCCCCTGCGGCTCCGCCTCGGAGCCCAGGCCCCAGGCCTCAGTGGCTTCACCTCCCAGAAGGTCTGCTGTTTGGTCTAATTAGCATATTAGCTCTTTATTATATAGGAGTGGAGACCCGCCCATGGGCGTGGCTTAAATGAGGTCCGGTCAGGGGCGGGGCCTGTGGTGGAGACCCTTCAAGGGGGCGTGGCTGGTAAAGGAGGTCGGCTCAGGGGCGGGGCCTATGGTGGAGACCCTCCTGGGGGCGTGGCCTATGGTGGAGACCCGCCCATGGACGTGGCTGAAAGGAGGTCCGCTCAGGGGCGGGGCCTGTGGTGGAGACCCTCAGAGGGGGCGTGGCTGGTAAGGAGGTCCACTCGTGGGCGGGGCCTACAGTAATGACCCTCCTATGGATGGGGCTATGTTGGGGGACCCTCCTATGGGGTGGGGCCTATGGCGGAGACCCTCTCAGGGGCCGCAGATGGTGGAGATCCTCCTGGGGGCGGGGTCTAAGGTGGGGACGCTCCAAGGGGCGTGGTCTATAGTAAAGACCCTCCCAAGGGCGGGGACCCTCTCAGGGGCAGGGACAACAGTGTGATCCTCCCAGGGGGCGGGGCCTACCATGGAGACCCTCACAGGGGTGGGGCCTATAGTCGGGGACCCCCCATGGGGCGGGGTGTAAAGTAAAGACCCTCCTATGGTGCGGGACCTACAGCGGAGACGGGGCCTACAGTAATGATCCTCCCAGGGGGCGGGGCCTACAGTAATGACCCCCCGAGGGGGCGGGGCCTACAGTAATGATCCCCCAGGGGGCGGGGCCTACAGTAATGACCCCCCAGGGGGCGGGGCCTACAGTAATAACCCCTCAGGGGGCAGGGCCTACAGTAATGATCCTCCCAGGGGGCGGGGCCTACAGTTATGACCCCCCAGGGGGCGGGGCCTACAGTAATAACTCTCCCAGGGGCGGGGAGGGTGATGGCGACCCCCCAGGGGCACACCTGGCAGATGCCGTTGATGCAGACGTCTCGGTTGCCCCGGCGGCCCTCGTAGCAGGGCGTGCCGTCCAACACGGCGTCCCGGAACCTGTCGCTGAAGGACTCGCCCTCGGGCTTGCAGTGCAGCTCGCAGGGGGTCACTGGAGGCGCAAGTGCAGGAGCCGTGAGGGACCCCGGGGCAGGCGTCTTGGGGATCCCCAGGATGCCCCCCTCCACGATGTGCACGGACGGATGGACGGATGCTGCTGGGGGAGGGGTGGGGCCGGGGAGCACAAACGGGCTGCCATCCGATGGGGCGAGGGGAGCGCCCCGCTGGCCAGTGGGGAGCAGCCCGGGCGCAGGCTCGGGGGGCGCAGGACTCACGGTCGGTCGGCTGGGGCTCCCACTTGCA